TGTTTTGTCATTTGCCGAAATTGGCAACAACAGCAATTTACCCACACTTGTTGAAAAATCGAAGGTACCAGAGGTCCAAAGGCCCTCGGGGCACTGGGAGCGGGTCATTGGTGAAGGAGGGATTTACTCATCCTAAAGCTAAAATATCACTTTTCTATCTATTCTCCTCTTTGTTTTATTCAAAAAAAACCAGCGGCCAGTTTGAATGGGATGACCTAATAGTATCATTTAGTGCCCCACCAAACCGATGCGCCTAGATCTCATGCTTGCTCTAGTGGTGATTAAGCTACGCCGCTCACTGAGCTCACAGCAATTGAATCGCCATTCATGCATTCCTGAATATCTTTATGGAGCAGCAAATTGCCCTGAGTTATTATACCTGCTTCGTAATCTGTGTGAAATGGGCGGGAATCGATAAAAGTGAGTTCTATGAGATGTTGGCGTGCGTGTGTGTCGGTCCAGCACTTACTCAAATGGCGCGATTACGTGCTACGCTGTGCTTTGCTCTGTGAGCAATTATTGGATCAGAGCTGTGAAGTTATGGAAGTACTTCCGTCTTCTTTGAATCTTTTACCTCCAGCAGTCAAGCTCAGCTTGGCTGCGCACTAACTTTTCTTTATTTTTGCAACTGCTCGATAGATAACTTTTATATTTGTGATCGAAGTTCGATTTTCTCGTACAATTGTTCCGAATTCTCTCTGTATGGGTCTGCAAACTTTTTTCTAGCTGGAAACGAAGAGTTATTTATTCCTTCTATTCGACTAACGTGGTGTTGTCGCGTTCTCCAGAGCCTCATTAGTACCTAGCGAGGCCAGAGAGGTGAAAAGTGTGGAGTTTTCACGGCTTTGGCATAGGAGGGGCATACTTTGCACTTCCACTAGTTTCCCTCTGGTACTTTCTGCTAAATTGCACGTTTCACCAAGATGAGACGTGTGGAGTCTTGTCAAGTACAAACCAACCTCCTGCTTTTGCAGAGCTCTACAGGAATTTACAGGTCACAGGAGGCATAGACAGTGAGCGATGGGAACCAGCGAAATGCCCCTTCCCAAGCCGATCTACGCCGCCACAATATCATTAAAACAATAGAAGAACGAGGATCGTTGGTTCCTCATTATTATACAGCATAATAACTGATGTGTGAAAGGCCGACCTATTGATCCTTTCTTTCAAGCAGAGTAGCTTTGCGTCTCTCGTTCTCCTTTATCAACTGGTTACTAGCGTCTGAGCGAAAGCTTTTTTCGTGTCCCGCGATGAAATCGGAATTTATTATTGATTGCCGCTGACGCACGTCATAAAATTATGCGTCATTTGAAAGAAATGAAAACGAGTTGTCGAACGAGTTCAGGGACTTACAACCATAGACTAAGGGTATTGCCCAAAGTGCTCTCTAGAGAAAAGAGTGCAGTGAGTAAGGTCAGTGCGAGTGACAGCATTTGGGAGCTTGAGAAAAAACTTCCTGCGTTCCCATAATTATGGTCTTGGAACAGCTAGAACACGGGCCTGCTGAGAGGAGAACGGCGATTTGGCGCTTTTGATGGGTTATAAGCTATCGACTGCATGTCTGCTGTGCGGCATAAAGTCGTTAGAAATGAACAAAAACTGAGCGCCTCCGCGCGCGTCAAAGGTAAGCGCTCCCCCATGTGTACGTTCGACTAACCCTTTTTGTACATTCTTGGCCCTTAAAACTGCTTTACGCGAGGATTGAAAATTGTTGAAGCAAAATTGTTTTCCATTCAACACATTCACATTCTATTTACCTTTTCCTTTCGGAAACTGACTGTCCAACAGATTGAAGCGCAGAGTATTTTGCTGGTCAATGCAAGCTGGCAAAAAATCACCTCGCTCTACAAGGCAAAAGAGGCGTTCAATCCTGAGGACATGTAGGATTAGTACGCCAAGCAAGGCAGGATTCGGTGCCCCTGAGCAGGCTGCGTGGCGCTTCTGCAAGGACGATATTACTATGGGCCCCCTATCAAGGCAACATAGCGACCCTCGCGCCCACCCGCCCACAAATGTCCGACCGATGCCGATGCTCGTATCGCTTCATTTGCGAGGTAAAATATGAGGCGAAGGGATTGATATGAAGCGGTTGCGTTGTTGCACGGATATTCATGCGGCCGTATCTACCGTAGCTGTTATTAGCACGATGCCAACGGGGAACTCTTCCGTAATTCCTTTCTTAGTCGTATAAATTAAAGGTTTTTTCCTCAGGTTTTTGACCGTTTCGGTAAGGATTTTTCGCCATTTTCCCCACTGTGTACCTTCCCTGCTATCATTTTGAACGAGTACCGAATTATCGTGATTTGTGCCTTTGAAGGCATGCTTCTGGATTTCCAAGGGTTAAAGCAAAAAAAACGGCTTATTGGTGTGCCCCCCCCCTTTTTTGTCGCCCTTTCCCCGCTTTTCATGCAGGGTGCAGCGTCGGGTGGACTGAGAAGTGGCGGTGTTAGTACGAACTTCCTTAATTTCCTACTTCGGTAGGACCCCCTTTAAGTCCTTTGAACTATCTTTCTGAATTTTCATATTTTGCTAGGGAGCATAGACACTTCCGATCAAGTTACGCACCACCGGAGGGGACGGCCATTACCGCGTGAAACGTCTAAACTTAGCAGTTCCTAAAAGACCCTTGTGATAGAATTTGCCCTGCCCAACCGATTAAAGCGACCCCCTGATGAGTTTAACCTGTTTGACGAGCAAAGCGTCAGCGCGCCAATGAAGTTATCTCCTGGTTTCGCCCAAACGGCAGTCTCGAACGGTATCTTAGAAGGTTGTTGAATGGTCTCGTATGTATTAGAATACCTGTACTGTATATAATTTGCTGTTTATTTGTCTGCTTGTCTGATTGTTTGTTTGTCCAGTAATCCGGATCACCCCAAAGAGCCAATTAGAGAGCTAGGGTCAAGGTTGGAATGGGTAGGGAATGGGACAAGATATTTGCGCGCACGCAATCAATGCTAAGCCCCGCCCACCGTAGGCGAAGCATGCCCTGAAAGTGAGCGGTATCATAGACAAAAATTTAGAATTCGGTAGGCAAAAATTTAGAATTCGGTTCCAGAACAGCCCAGAGAAGGGGGAAAGTGCACTAAAATCAGCATGGTGTTGACAGCTTAGCTGGAGAAGGCACACATGAAATGAGCAGGGCGTACTTGAGATGGGCGCGCTTTCCACAAAATTTGGTTGGTCCTCGAAAAGTGTGGAGGTCGCAAAAAAGTCGATGAAGAGGAAATGTTCAGTAATTTATTCTCGTTTCAGGAGCACCATTCAATGTGATGTCTCGTAAAGTACTTTGTGCGAGCACGATGGAGTTGGCACAAAGCCTTAGCAATCTTCTCACCCACGCTGATTTTGAGCCCGAAGGCTGAGATTGTTCAATTTCAGTGAAGATTCTCCTACTTGTTGAATTACAGTATTAAGAAGAATTTCGTTACAGATAGTGATTTTATTCCAATTCTAATTTAATAGAGGTAAAATGTGGTTTTTGTGCTCACTTAACATTTCAATTCGAAACTTTTATCATGTCATTCCTCATCCTGGTCGTAGGTGCAATGCGTTTAAATCGGATTTTTATTAATGATTTCTTTGAGCGATGATCTTCATTGTCAAGGATCTTTCAATGAGATGAATTGTAGAGAATTTATTAATAAGATAAATTTCTTTCAAGTGGTAGTGTTTGTGTATTTATTGGGCTGTTCATTTGATCAGCTGATTCTATCGTCTTTGAACAATATTATGTTTATTTCTAACATTTTTTCTCGTATAGTTGCAATCCGAGGAGATCTGGTGGCTACGAAATGGCTGAAGTGAAGAGCAACCAGTTTACTCAGGAGGAGGTACAAAGTATTATCAAGCAAGTGAGTAGTCTCACTACTAATTTTATTATTTTATTTAATATTACTATTATTATTCTCTGTTTAGTACATTTTAATGAAGCGGACAGGTTTTTTTCATTAGTTTTTTATTTATTGACAGCATTTACCTTTTACAGCTTCCCTCTAGGTACGTTATGCCACAATTAGAACACAATTCTATCCCTCTGGAACATATTTACCGAGAAGTTTCTCCCTGGTGTTGATTCACCGCGTTGGAGACGAATATCACACTAGTATGGCTCGATAGGGCTGGCGTCAGCTCCAAAAAGCCTGAAGCAGCATTTTGGTTCAGAACTTCCCCCAATTGATAGTTTAATCGCCTGAACATAACAATCACAACTGATTAGAGCTAGAACTCGTGATATCCGCCCTACGAGCTCACATAATAGCAGTTTTCGCCAAGCGGATGAGATATTTATATGAAGGGGGTCAAAGTGTCTCGAGAAATTTATTGGCCGTGAGGCTTTTGGGCGCTGGAGCCAGCTGACTTGAGCTAAAGTGCGTGTGGCCTCTTGTAATTGTCGCTTACTGACAGCTCATGCTGTCGTGCGCACCGAACTCAACTGGCTAAACTTCTGTCACAGGGGGATGGAGTTCAGTTTTTTCAACCGGTGTTTTTGTTTTTTTTACACCATTAGTTGGCCGTTAGCGACTGGCTCGTTAGTTGGCGTTAGCACTGGTTGACGGGAAGAAACGGTAAGTGAGTCAGCGGTGGCAGGATATCGCTTTACTTGCTTAAAATGATCAGGTCCGAAAAACTGGCCAGGGAGGCTTCTAGGGGGTTTTTACGGTGTTCCCTATAGGTGTTTTTTTTTGCTTTTTTCACCCTTGGAGAATCACTCAGCGTTATCCAAAATATGCGTTCGCGAAGTTTCTCTTTAAATATCGAAAGGAGAGGAAGGGAAGAAAATTAGGGGGAGTTCTTCCTTAAGTACGACCGTAACCCTTTTTCGCAACCAAAACACGACCCCCCCCGCTCTTGCCTCCTGTTGGACAGTTTTCAGCGCGGCGTGTCCTGCTTGAAATCTTCATAAGTTTTAGTTTTTTTTGTGGCTCCTTACAACTTATTTAGTTCCCATCCTGGTAGCGATGGAGCTACACAAGGGTTTGAACGATTTTCTGTTGTTAGGCTTAGCTCGCGTTGTATACGTTATGAGAATATTTGATTTTTATATAACATCTTCAAGCGCTGTTGCTAAACCCTTCTAGGCTCATTTTTACGGAGTTGTTTCGAAGTGTGCCCTCCCGTTTCGTTTTTCTTTGTAGTTTTGTGACCTCGTCAAATTTCTATGAAATCTTATATGTTCAAACTTCATTGGTCACTCAGATTCCCTCATGCGCCATTATCTGCGAAACCAGAAATATTATTAAAAAACAATATCACCCGCTCTTCGGAATATTTTACCCTTTTTCTGATGATCGCCTAGTTCATGAGATTTTTGATGATTGAAAATGCTGAGTCACTCAGGAATGAGATTCTTTTGTGTCATTGCGACAAAACTCAATTGGGGAACAACGTGGAGCATTGGGGATGCATTTTATATTAAACTGGACTAGAGAATAGTTTGCTTATCATCGACTGAACTCTTCTGTGTAAGCACCATGCAATCATTTCCCACCCTGAGGTGGTTGAAAGGTGTAACCTTCACATAAGGCTTATTCTTGCAACCCGATGGGTCCCATTATACCTTTTTTTGGTGTTCTTCAGGACTTATTCCCGCTCCAAAGACCCCTTCCCCTCTCAACGGCCAAATACGAACCCCTAATGCAATTCTTCCTAACGGCGCTGTACTCTGATTACAAGAAATGCTCCTGCTCCAGGGCACGTCGTGCAACGGAGAATCCCCAGGAAGTTTTATTTCGCCTTAAGAAATTCGCTTTCCATAGTTGGTTTTTCCTTCGCCTCACTCCCCTCTCCCCTGGTTGATGTCGCAGCAAAGATCTTACTCGGTTGCAATTCTTCAAAGTTTAATGTAGTAGTTGTTGGTGAGACCTCCCGCTCCCCGCCCCGCTTTCCTCTCAAGGACGAAATTTCAGGGAAAAAACTGGGAAATTTTTGAAAAGTTTCGAAAAAAGTGGTAGAGTAGTAGGAAGTTGGGGAAAGGCAGTGAGGTGGTAGGTATAATAAAATGAGGAAGGGGATCGTTTCTTCGGAAATTCCCCTCCTCAACCCACCTTGAATTCCAGGTCCGCAAAGGTCACAGGATGTGATCTCTGCTATGAGACATTCAAAAATAATTCCTTCCTTATGCTCATTGAAAAAGGAAGTGCACGAAAGAAAATCCGCATGTCTCTTGTCCCGTTTCGTCCTAATGCCTGAGTCAGGAGATTTCTTGAATGATTTCCCTTGACGCGAGTTTTCTCGCTTTCTAAATGAATTTTACTATTCAGTTACGAGTTTTCGTTACAGTTGTTTCGGTAAGGCCTTGAACAACAAAAAATTTCAGGTTCTGGACGAAGTGATCGGTTTGAGCCCGTATAACTATGCTGACAGTTTGAACTGGAACAAACAGGCTGTTGAACAGATTACAAAAAGACTTGTGGCACTCAATAGACCATATAAGTACATAGGTGAGTTGCTGGGAGTGCTTTGTCCAAATTAATTATGTTGCGGTTCTTGTTAGAGTGAGTGTATTGGCTGAATGTGAATAATCGACGAGACGTACCGGTTTCAGTAAATTCCTCACTTTTGCAAATCGGTAGTGGAACTGGTATGAATGTGAGCACAATCTCGTACTGGAACAAGGCGACTGATCGTGAGTTGTCGATATTTTTATTTAGTTCGTTTTCGTTTTTTGACGTGGTTTGTGTGCACAGGCATTGTTCACAGTCTGTGAGCCTGCAGAATCGGCCAGAGAAGCGCATCGCGAAAGTGAAAGGGTTATATAAAGAGGACTGGTAAACCATGCGGGAGCAATTTAGTGGAGCAGCAACGCAACAGAGTTGAATATACGTACTGGTCGGAATAACGGTCCGAAGCGGGGCGCAGGAGGAACGCGAAGCCGCCGGATTCCACCACTGTTGCACTCTGTGTTCATGCCTTACCACGATACTTGGATGTAAAGTCGTGTTGACCCGTCAGTTTTGTAGCGGCGCTTAGTTTTCACCGGCAGACAGGGTACTGCATCGTGATGTGTGAGGTGGTGGTGTAGATACGCCCCCTTCCCTCCGAGAGAGGGTGTCAGTACGATCCCCCACCTAGATGAGGGTCTCGGTAGACCCAACTATCTACGCTACAAATTTTCCCATTCCAATTTTTTTCCAGTTTTTTTTTTTTCAACGCACAAAATATTTTCGTGAGGGGAGAGGAGGTGGGGGTGTATAGTGCACATGAAACAGGAAAAAAATCACAAAAAAATCAACCGAAAAACCAATGCGACAAATTTCTCTCAGAAGCACATACTACTCTCTCCCTACTAAAGACCAATAACGACCCCTCCCCGAAGAAAAAGGTACGACCATCTGTGTGCTTCACACAACGATGCTGTATCCTGCCGGCAGAGTACGCAGGGTTTTCGCGGTCACTTTCGAACTGTAGCAAAACTGCCAGAGTGAAGGCCGGTGAACGTCGACGTTTGCCCGATAGACACCTATACTTCCCTGGTCCTTCGAGACGCTGTTGCTTACGCTAGCGTTTGCTAAATCGGTAACTATACTTTCCTAAAAGCTGTTCGTCGCTAGTGGACGCTGGCGCAAAGTATGAACGCAGCCTAAGCATTTCATGGTTAATGCACGTTAGTGAGACACCAAAAAGCGAGTGAATCTAGTAGGGCTGAAGATGTAATAACGTGTTGTATGCATTCTCGTAGGGGCTACTAGAGTGGAATGATTCGTGTGGCGTCTTTTGCGAAAAACGCGAAAGAGGCTCGTAGCACCCAGGGCAACTTGCCGACCCGGACGCTCACCACAACCGCACGCCCAGAAAATCGCACAGCCGTGTCAAAGCTGATGCTCTTATCGTTTTCTTTACGAAGTACACTTGATATGAAGCGGGTATGGCACTGCATGGATATATGAACTACGTACATGCAGTCGGATCTACCGATTTGGGTGTTAGCACGATGCCAGTGGGAACTCGTCCGAAATTGCGTTCATCAGTGGGAAACTCGTCCAAGCAGAACAAACCCTTTTTCCCAGATTTTCGACCTCTTCACTTGGCTTTTTCATTATTTTCCTACTATGTAGCACCTCTGCTACAATTTTAATTCGAGTACAAAAATATCGTGTTTTATGCCTTTAATCAGATAGAAAGATTAACCGTTTCAGTATCGTGGCAGTATCGCTGGGAAACGAAGAATATTCTGGTCGTTGTGTACGTATATGCGTTGGCAACTTCGTAACAAACGGGAGATAGAATGATATCACTTTGCAGCTGTTCATTTTGTTTCTTTTTTTGATTATCTGCCCTTACGATATGTGGCCTACGTTGTACTCAAGATCATCATCATCATCTTCGTCATCATTTTTCATCTTCCCCTTGGTTCCACATGTGTGTGTGGATGTTCCCGGTATTGAGTAGTGAGCGAAAAGAATGACTTGGCGCATCATGTGCTCCTGTATCCATCACCTTCAGTTTCATCATCATTATCATCGCTTTCGTATTTTTGATCGGTAGTTATGAGAATTCGCTAAGAATCGCCGCTATCGCCGCCTTCAAAATTACGGTCTTCTCTTCATCATCTCTGTTTTGTCAACGTCGTCATTTTAGACAAATAGCTTTTAATATGTATGTTGACATATTTTCTCATTATCCAGAGATGTTTTCTTTTTTTCATGCAGATTTATTGAGAATATTACCGAATATGTTGTTTGTTGTATTAGTTTTTGACTGTTATCGATTTATCATGTCATACGCCGCGTTTTGAGCTTTCTATTAGGGTTTTTGTGAAGTAGTAGTAATAGCAGTACGAATGAGGAGACTACCAAGCCAAGCTGTTTGTGCCCGCTCGCTCAATCGCCTGCCCGCAGTCGTCCGCCGTCGCTCGCTCGCTCGCTCACCATGGCCACAGTCATCACATTCACTAAGTATGTGATGAAATGTGCTGTGAGGTCGTCGTTGTGTCGCGTCGCGTTGCGCTGTAGCCATATAAGATTGATAGCTTCACTTGTAGATGCAATCTGCGCGTCGTCACGTGCACGCGCGCGCGTCCGCCCGCGTGTATGTTGTCGTTGTCGTCGTCGTTGATCAGTTGAGTACTTCTCTCCTACCTTCTTTTTCTTCTTCATCATCGTTCGCTCCCTGATGTACCGGTTCTGTTATCGAAAGTTTTATTTCTAACTTGTTTTTTGCATATTTTCTGAAAATGAAAGAATTTTTATTGATTGAATTTTTATTGATTGAGCACATATTACTGTGAAAGAGTAGAGAAGACAAAGTGGAATAGAGCTATACATTGGGTGATCCATTAATACCTGTTTCCTGGTTTTGTCATTTTAAAGGCAAATCCTATATTTATATACACTCAAATCCCTGAGATGTGGTAGGCGTGGCTGCATACTTCAATCGAACGTGCTTTGGCTGCGATTTTGGAGTGATATTTTCATTTTGACACAACTATTGTCAAATCTCTGTGCAACACAGAACAAGATGACAGTTGCCTCAAACTGAAATTTCCCACGAGTAGCCCAGTATATGCCATCTTTGAATGCCACGCCTACTCCTTGTTAGGGATAAGGAATGTATGGTTAGTTATGAGGCAATCTATGCGTTGTGAGCAATCTATGCGTCATTGCACGGAACAGAACAATTCGTCATTTTTGTTCCTACTGGGCGGAGCTTGCAAGGTGGGCGGGGTCTGTGAGGTGGGTTTAGGACTCAAGAGCACTGATGTCGCAAGTTGACCGACCATGATAAGGACTTTGCAAGTCTGGAGGACGTTGTTGCTTATCCATGCGTTAACTTGCACTGAAAGAAAAATTCATCGTTTCTGCTTGTGGGCGAGGCATACGCCATGGGCGGAGTCTGTGAGGACTTTCGGAACTTTAGAAACATTGACGGGTGTATTCACCGTTGCGGAATGAAGTGATTGAGGGGCATCAGGCGGGTTTGTGGGTTGGGTGGTACCAGAAAGAGGATGTGAAGTCTCAAGTGCACTTCTGGGGTGAATTTACTGCTGCAAAATACCACAGTTTTTTAAGCGCTGGTCAGGAGATTCATGCTGTACAACCCATATCTCAGAAATGGTGAGGACGCGGCTGATTACTTCTTTTGAACTTGGCCGTGGCTATTCCTTATGAGATCTTGCCGGTCTGGGCCGCTAGCCCGTTTCCCACCAATTGTTGTCGCTTGCCCGCTACAACAAGTGGTGGATAAAGGGCTAGCCTCGCGTCAAACTGTCCCTCCCCCTAATACGCCCAGCATCTGCAGCGAACAAGACTGTATCTCTTGTGCGCGGCGTCTTGGACAAGGGCACAGGCTGTGAGCTTTGCACGCCGCGCCCTGTGAATCCTTCAGCAGGCGATATTAGGGGTCTTATCATTTGCTTGTGAGGAGAGAAGTCAGATGTCATGCCTGACTCGCCTTCTCCCCCTCGATGGAAACTTTTGCCGATTTCTGGAGCTCGATGAGGGTAAGGCTTTATACGGCATGATGATCACTTCAAGGGTACGGGATAGGAGTAAAGAGGATAGGAGAAAGGGACCGGTGTGGCCCGGAAAAGAGTAATCACAACGCAAACTTCTGGCGCTTAAAGGCAGTTGGCACGATAAATCCCCAAGACGACTAGGATCAATACTCCTGGCAGGATAGAATTCCGCGACCCTGGGCATAGCGGTTTCCCCGAGGAAGGTGCCCTTATAAGGGCCCTATCAAGCCACAACTTTACGTCCCAAACGCCCGCCACGCCCGCCCGCCCACAAATGGACGACCGTTCCTGACGCTCGTATTCATTCATTTGCTAAGCAAATTATGAAGCGAAGGGATATGAAGCGGCCGTGATGCTGCATGCATATATGGGTACACATATGCAGCCGTACCTTCGGTAGCGGTATTGGTAAGATGCCTACGGGAAACTCGTCCGAAATTGATTTCTAACACATTGAGAATTGGAGGCCCTTTCTTCGCAGGATTTTGACCGTTTCACCCCGTTCTTTCGCCATTTCCCCTCCTATTTACAGCGCCCTACTAGCATTCGGCGCTAAGTTAGGAAAAACGGCATCGTGCCAACCTTTAAAGGCAGGCGGCCACGATTGCGGGAGTCGGGCCGGGTTGTTGACACGCTCATTCGTCGAGAGGCTGAAATAATGCGTAGCTGCGTCGAACTGCAACACACTTATGAAGTGTGGGCCAACCCCTTCGCACGAATGACGCTTAGGCCAACAAGCAGGTCCCCCCCCCCCAGCAATTTATGCCCACTGCCCTTAAGATATGGGACTGCTGCAGGAACCTCGCTAAGCTTCGTGTTTCAAAATGTTTTGAACTCAGACGAATTTAATTATTATTATTGATTTATCGCATCCAGATCAATCGCGTAAGCCAAATCAATATGTACAGTCAGCAAAAACAACAAGGTAGGAAAATTCGCAATGAGGACATTTCACAAGATCACATAACGAATGATACAATCACAGTTCAATTTCGTCGAATACGAGGATACCTGCTAGGAAGAGGTGATGTACGTGGCCTACATTTACAGTAATTACCATCCCGTCCGGGAGCCCCAGGGTTGCCTGGACGACCGGGATTTCCCAAAACACCTGGCGCTCCTGGATAGCCTGCGTTCCCTACACGGCCACGTTCGCCTGGCTCACCCCTTCTTCCAGGCATCCCCGGGCGACCAGGTTTACCTGGCATGCCTCGCTGCCCAGATCGGCCAGGCTGTCCAGGTTTGATGATGATTCGCGTGCCAGCTCGGCCACGACTCCCAGGTAGACCAGGAAGTCCTTCTCTTCCCGGAGTTCCTTTTTCGCCTGGTGGGCCTCGTGGTCCCCTCAGACCTGGCTTACCAGGTTGCCCAGGTGCTCCTCTACGACCTGGCGGCCCAGGAGGGCCTGGTGGCCCGTTCGGTCCAGGCAAACCCGGTGATCCAGCATGGCATTTGATGCATTGGTTAGCACTCAGAAGAGCGGGTAGAGCTTCATAGCCTAATGCCACTGCTTCTTTGAAACTTGGTGGTGGACGTATTGACGGTGGGCAAGCCACATGATCAGGTCCAGGTCGTCCATTCGCTCCTGGTCTACCTGAATAGCGCTATATAAAGCCTCATGGGCAAGGTTGATGAAACAGCAGCTGACAGATGTTTTTCGTTGGCAAAGGGCAATTCGCAACGCGACTGCACGCGAGTCTATGTCTTCGTTTCTTCTATTAGGTTGGTGCATAAGTTCTCGGCCCCCTGTTTTGATCCTTCCGTATTTCGTTTGCATGGAGGTTGGTATTTCGTCATCACGTGTGCGTGACGTGTACATGATACTCTTTCACCACACTAGCTATCACTCACCCACCCTGCATTTGCAGGCTACAATGCCGCACAATTACCAGTGCAAAACCATGTCACAGTGGTGATTGTGCGGCA